CAGATGACCCCAAAATTGGGGGAGGGGTAAATAATGCAGAGGACGGGTCATTAATACAGAGCGATCTGGATCACTTGATAAACTGGGTGTGAGCAAACAATATACCTTTTAATTTAGCTAAATAGAAATGTATATATCTAGGAACAAAGAATGTAGGCCATACTTACAAGATGGGGGAGACTCTATCCTGGGAAGCAGTGACTCTCGGAAAAAGATCTGAGTGTTGTGGTGGTGAATCAGCTAACTGTGAGCTCCCAGTGCAACGCTTTGGCCAAAAGGGCCAGTGCAATCCAACATGCACAAATAGGGGAATCTCAAATCAGAGTGGAGGTAATTTTATCTCTGTATTTGGCACTGGTGCTACCGCTCCTGGAATACTGTGTCCAGTTCAGGCATCCAGAATTCAAGAACAATGTTGATAAGTCAGAGAGAATCCAGAGAAGAGCTACAAGAATGATCTAAAGGATTAGAAAACATGCCTTAGTCAATGACTCAGGTAGCTCATTCTGTTTAGCTTAACAAAGAGAAGGTTAAGGGGTGACTTGATTATGCTCTGTAAGTATCTACATGGGGAAGAAATATTTGATATTAGGCTCTTCAGTGTAGCAGAGAAAGGTATAACATGGAAGCTGAAACTAGTCAAATTTAGACAGGAAAGAAGGCGTAAATGTTTAACATTGACGGTAATTAGCAATTGGAACAATTTACCCAATGTCATGGTTGATTCTCCATCACTAGCAATTTTTAAATCAAAATTGTTTTTCTAAATATACTTCTAAAAGGTATGCTCTAAGAATTATTTTTGGAGAAGTTTTATGGTCTGTTATACAGGTGTTCAGACTAGATCACAATGATCTCTTCTGGTCTTGGTATCTATGAATCTATACCTTGGATCTTTCATTTGTGAACCCAGATCACTTTGTACAAAAGTCGGTATAATGACCTTTGTGTCCTGGCCATATTCCAGCCAGGGAAATTGCATTCTATTTAAATCCTCCTTCATTTTCAGGTGGTAGATTGATTTCACCTACTGTTGTGCAGTGCTGCTATGTGCTGTTAAACTGCCACCACATTCTATCCTCAACGTGTCTGCATTTCAGTGGTGGAGAGAGATTTTTTGTATGTACAGAGTTGTAGTGCACTTTGAGATCCCTCTGAGTGAAAGACACTACTAGAATGTAAGTTTTCTATCACTAAATTGTGCTTGGAATCTGGAACTGGGGCTATCCAGTAAATGGTGAAGCTCTCTAGGGAAGAGAGAAGTTGCAAGAGTGGGAGATAAAATGCTTGAGTTTGGAAGTACTGAGAATGCAGTAATCTCTGTGACCAGCAGTGGTTAGTATCACATAGCTGATTGTAGGCAGTGTGGGAACTGAATCACTCTCCTCCGTGGCAGTTTCAAGCCCCTGGGAAAAAATAGAGCAGTGTTTTTTCAGAAATTTGGTTTCTGTCTCTATTTACAAGTCGTGGGATGGCCTAGTTGCCAGCACACTACATTTGTACCCCCATTCCCATTTGTATTACTGTCCTATTTCTCGCCTCTTTTCCCCATATAATTGTCTTGGTTTTCTGATTTCTCTGTGCTACTTATGTGATGCCTCAGGTTCTGGATACACTCATGAGTGAGTTTGTTTTTTTTACAGTGATGTGGCTACAAAACTGGTCAGTGAGATGTTTTGAATGGGCTTCATGCACAGAGGCATCACAGCCAGAGAAGGGAGAACAGTTATACTCTGACTCTAGGGCAGAGGTGGGCAAACTATGGCCCACGGGCCACATCCGGCCCGTGGGACCGTTCTCCCTGGCCCCTGAGCTCCTGCCCCGGGAGGCTAGCCCCCAGCCCCTCCTCTGCTGTTCCCCCTCCCCTGCAGCCTCAGCTCACTGCGCCACCGGCGCAATGCTCTGGGCGGTGGGGTGGCGAGCTCCTGGGGCAGCGCAGCTGCAGAGCCCGGCCTGACATGGTGCTCTGTGATGTGCGGTGCGTGGCTGGCTGGTAAGGGGGCAGGGGAGTTCGGGGGATGGTTAGGGGTTGGGGCGGTCAGAGGGCAGGGAACAGGGGCGTTGAATGGGGGCAGGGGTTCCGGGGGCGGTCAGGAAGGAGAGGGGGTGTTGGATGGGGCAGTTGGGGTGGGGGGAAGTTAGGGGCCAGGAATTTGGGGGCGGTCAGGGAGAAGGGATGGTTGGATGGGGCAGGGGTCCAGGGGGGCCATTAGGGAACAAGGGGGGTTGGATGGGGCAGGATTCCCGGGGGGCCGTCAGGGGCGAGAAGCAGGGGGGGTTGGATAGGGGGCGGGGACTGGGCCACTCCTGCCTGTTTGGGGAGGCACAGCCTCCCCTAACCGGCCCTCCATACAATTTCTGAAACCCGATACGGCCCTCAGGCCAAAAAGTTTGCCTGCCCCTGCTCTAGGGCCACCATCCTGATAATACTGCTGTTAGAACTGGGTATCTCATTACCAGAGTGATACTTGGACACAAACTACAGAAATGATCAAGGGGTTGGAGGAAAGAATGAACTCTGTCCAGGATGGTTAAGATGGCAAAGCTGAGAATGTCGTAACCAACAAACATTTGAGGTATATTCCTAGACAAACTGTTAAAATGGAAGTAAGGCAGAGAGTACATATCCATCATTTAGGGTAAAATACATTCGAGATGTTGTAATGATCCCAAATGTGTTAACCCGGGGAAATCCATAGTCAGGGTTAAATATATGAAATTCAGTCATATGGAAATATACAGTGAGGATATCCAACCAATCTTAACTCTGCCTTACTACAGGCTCTTCCAACTTCCTCTGTAGCTAAAGCTAACTGGAATCTTCTACATGGATTAAATCTAAACTTTTTATTATTAATGGTAACTTCACCCCTTGCTATTCTTTATAACTAAATGTTTATCCTTCAGCAGGAACTTTAACTCTGCCCTGGAATGACACCATGAGCATCAAAAAAATGAAAAATATCTGTTTTTTAACAAATCAGTTTAAACTAATCTGTGTCCACAAACACTAAAATGCCTTAATCACGACTGTATAGTTTTTATTTAGTGTCAATACTCCGTCCCATTGACCATGAGACACTCTTCTCCAAATGGCCACCAACTGAGGGCAGTCACACTGAGAACAATGGGAGATGGCAGCCATTTTGAAAGAGGGCAGCTCTTTGAGAATTCTCTTTAGTAGACACTGGTATCCTTCAGCCTCTGTGAAAGAAGCTTTCACTTATGAAAAATAACAGGGGGAATGACCATTCATAAAACTGAAGGGTGGCACACTTTGTTGCTTCTTTAGGCCGAGTTCATTGAACACATACCAGGGGCTCATTGCATTCCCCCATTCCCCAGCCACAAGCTCTCTGTGTGACCTGCCCATTCCCTTGTATTTCAGGAACCTCCCTCTTTCCCCTGATCCTTGGGCTCTGTGTGCTTCCCTCTTACCCCCGCCTTTCTTAGGGTATGTCTTCACTAGGAAGGCTGTAGCTGTGCTGCTATAATGCTTCACTGTAACCATTCACTACAGCAGCAGAATCCCATTTTTGTAGTTAATCCATCTCCACGAGAGGTGCTAGCTAGGTTGACAGAAGAATTTTTTCATTGATCTAGCACTGTCTATACCAGGGGTTAGGTCAGCTTAACTATGTTGCTCAGAGATGTGAGTTTTTCACATGCTGAGCGATTAAACAGGGTCGACTTAACTTTTTAGTGTAGACCTGGCCATATTCTTCCACTTTCTTCATGCCTTTCTCGCTCATGGTGTCAACATTTTCAAACTATTGGAGGGGATGGGAAGAGCTAAAATGATGGGTATTATGCTGGAATGTGTTAATGGTTGCCATCAACTGACAATTACAGAGGCAGTTGAATCTGGTAGCTCTGCTAACCAATGGCTTGTGTCCCCCATTTCCCCCCCTTTCGGTTTTTCCAGTTTTCATCAAAATCAACAGGGTTCCCTGAAATTTGGAATTGATCAGATGGAGTGTTCAAAGTTTATTATATTGCATCCACACTGAGATATGCTATCAAGTTGCATGTAAGGCCTTGCAAGCTTCACAAGAACAACCCCCAAACCAATCTAACACAGACAAGGTTTCAGTGTGTTTAGGGCATGTGTTCAGATTAGAGGTCTGGCAAAAATCTGACACTGAGTGCTATATTTCTTAAATGGCCCATTTTAATTAATTTTAAGTCCTAAATAAACCGTTTTAGGGCTTGTCTACACTTACAATGCTGCAGTGGTGTAGCTCCACCACTGTAGCACATAGTGAAGACACTATCTATGCCAACAGGAGAGCTTCTCCCATTGGCGTAGGTACTCCACCTCACCGAGAGGCGGTAGCTATCTTGATGGGAGAAGCTCTCCCATAAACATAGTGCTGTCTACACCGGAGTTAGGTTGGTATAACTACATTGCTTAGGGGTATGGATATTCTACACCTCTGAGAAACCTAGTTTTAATGACATAAGTTGGTAGTGTAGACCAAGCGTTAGTTGTAAACTCGTATAGAAAAGTAATTCTGTGCTCAGTATTAGTGCTGTCACTTTGGGAGGATACACTATTTTTCATGCATAAGAGATTGGATCCCTACTTTAAGTGCACGCCTTAAATATAGACTTGCTACCAACACCTCCATAATAAATCCACGGGTGGGAAGGAGAGGGTTAGGAGCAGTATCTCTGTAACTAGGAGGAATCGGATGAGATTTGCTTAGTCAGTTTAAACTGACTACTACTAAAACTTCTTGACAGTGGGGTATATAGTGTTGTGCTGTGAAATAATCTCTTGGAGGAAGGATTGGGAGCCCCTTCCTTTGGAACATTGAAAACCAGACTGGACACAGCTCTGGGAAATGTTCTTTGATGGTTTGCATTAGATGGTACCTAATTTAGGTCTTTTACATCTGTAATTGCAGCGATTGAGTTGTCTGCCTAACAAGTCCCATCTAGCAAGCTGCTTGCCTTCCCCAGAAAGTGTAGCTTGAGTTTTTTGTCCTTGTTCTTAGGTTTGCGACTGTGAGATATGACCAGGGAACCAAGAACATTAAAAACCAGTTCATGCATCTGACCAACTACAGTGTCAACAAGAAGAGTGGAGACTATGTCAGGTACTTAGAACTGCCAAAGAGACGAGAGGATGGGCTTTGGTTCTTGGAGGCGGAACCAAATTCACACCAGGGTGGGGGAGCAAATTTGTATGACTGCATCTAAGTATGGCTTTCAAAGGTCAGAGTGGTGATCCTGAGGCACAGGCCAGTTATGTGAGCCCTGCTTCCTTGGTTTTTTTTAGCTGTGATGACCCTGAAGTGGAGGATTATGGGAACAAGTGGAGTATGAGTGCGATGCTGAGGTACCTGAAACAAGAAGGGAGAGACACAACAAGTGAGTAGAGACCCCCCCCCTTTGGTTCCTTCCTTGTGTCCTCAGCAGTGTCCACCAGCAAGAAATCCTAGGAAGAACCCTACTAGGTTCCAACTCAGGGCGGAGGAGTTTCCCTTTCTTAATGTCATCCCGTTCCTCCTAGTTATACCTTCTGGTACCACCCTAAATGCTTCCCCTCCGTCCACGGCTCCCATGGTTTGTTCAGTCTGGTGAGTCAACCTCTCAAACCCTGCAATTTAGCGAACGAATGGCTGGTTACCTGTGTCATTTTGAATGACTCATGGATGTATCATCACCTTTCCATGCCCCAGGTTTTGGCTGAGTTTTGTTGTCCATCTGAGCGCTTATGTTCTGTAGAACAGCTCTCTTCATACCTTTACCAGGTCTGCTTTGATGCATCTGCATAGCAGAATCCAAGTAATTTTCTCTTAAGGGACAACTTGCCTGATACTGAGTCCTTAGTAACACTATTTGGCAGCTACTGTACCCATCCTATAAGTATTACCAGGGAACTTAGAGGATGGAGGAAGGGATTTGAATCAGGCTTCTAAGTGGAACTAAGCCTTTCCCAATTTTATGTGCATGGTTATGCAGTCACTCATGCTCACTTGCACCAATTAATGTTCTCTCAGTTGCACACGTGATTAGATATTGATACAGATCATTAGAACATTTACACTTTATAATATCCAGTGTAAAGCGATAAACTCTCCTAAATAAGCCAACCACTGAGAGAAATTAGGAAGACATTCCAATGAATTGGTTATTCCATAATTGTACAGTTAGGGGTTTCTTGCATCTTGCTCTGATGCTGGTGTCAGACAGAATACTGGGCTAAGAACGCCAGTCTGATCTGGGACAGCAGTTTCTGTATTCTTATGCACATGCAGGAACACTTGTGTACACATGCCCGAACACTCATGTACACACATTCATGCTTCCTCTTGTACAGATGCTCAAACTTTGCATACCTAGGAATATGCACACATGTATTCCCCCATGTATGGAAAATAGTACTTGCAGTACTAAATTAGACCAGAGGTTTATCTAGTTCAGTGGCCAGTATCAAAAAGGAGCTGCCAACAAAGTAAGTTTTTTTTTTTTTCCCCCCCTAACCCCCATTAGTTTGGCTTGTGCCCTTGAGCATGAGAGTTTCTCTAAGGCTTGGTCTACACTTACCCCCCAATTCGAACTAAGGTACGCAACTTCAGCTACGTGAATAACGTAGCTGAAGTTCGAAGTACCTTAGTTCGAACTTACCTCGGTCCACACGCGGCAGGCAGGCTCCCCCGTTGACTCCGCGGTACTCCTCTCGTCTAGCTGGAGTTCCGCAGTCGACGGCAATCACTTCCTGGTTCGACTTATCGCGTCCAGACAAGACGCGATAAGTCGAACCCAGAAGTTCGATTTCCAGCCGCCGAACTAGCAGCTGGGTATAGACGTACCCTAACACTCTTGATTAGTTAATCCTTAAAACAGAGTGTGTGTGTGGGGGGGGAGGGGAGTGATTACTCATGCTAAATTGTGCTGTCATGCATGCTACATGCTCCTGCTTATGCTTGCTTGCATTTGTTCTTGCACTCCTGTGAGAATTCACTTGAGTGCTCCTGCCCTGGGGTATTCATGTATGCACTCATGATCTCTTGCTCCTCTGGGTGTCCACATATGCTTTCATTTGCTTGATGTTACCTACAGTCACCCATACTCAGATTCACATGCAAACCCAGGAGAGCATTTGCACATGAGTGCAATCCCTGCTTCACATTCTGTTTTGTTTTTTTTCCCCCCTCACAGCACTGATGGCCAATGTGGAGGACTTGATTATTAAGACCATTATTTCTGCTGAGCTGGCAATTGCCACAGCCTGTAAAACCTTTCTTCCACACCGTGGCAGCTGCTTTGGTAAGGAGCCCAGGGGTTGTCTTAATATATGGGGCTGTTGCAGGTTCCCTTTTCTCCTGGGTGTCTGTTACCTGCTGCTTCCAGCCCAGGTGTTGTGTGGAAAAGCTTGGACTCCATATTGGGCTAGCAACAGAGGGAAATTTGGGTTTGGCTCTCTGTGCAGACATCCCAAACTGCAGGATTGACCCCAGAGTCACTGTCACACATAGGGGGTCCTATGATGGGAGGAGTGCTGGATTCTAAGATGAGCGGAACAGTTCAGAGGGAACCTACACTGTGTTGGGCATACTGGAGTTGCTGGCCCATTAATGGTCCTGGAAAGGGTGATGGGTTGAGCACACATTGCTGTGAGATTGGTCCCTAGAAGGAAGGCTTGTTGCATATGAGTGTTGGTGATGCCTGTTGGGCTTGCTTTTGTGTGACTGTACCACATGGCGGCGGCAGAGCCTACCGCTGGCTGAGGCTGTATACAGAGCTATGTGTTGGCAATGGGAAGGGGAAGTTTGGAACAGTTCCAAAAAGCGGCGGCTGGTACCAGTGCATGCCTCCTACTGCTTTCTAATGGCAGCTCCTCAGCCTTCCCTGAGGCGGCCTCCTCCTGCTTCCAGCTGCTCTCTGCAAACACAGAAGGCAGGAGTCCCAAAGTAGAAGATTGCTGAGTGCAGAATCAGTCTTATGCTCAGTCAGTGCTTGCACTAAAGGCTACTAGTAGCTTAAGCTGACCTGTGTTCAGGGACCACGGGGAATAGGCTGTCTGAACACAGCCATGACAGGCAAATCCCTTCTGCTGTGGGATTCTTGAAGGTTGGCAGCACTACATACATTTCCATGAGTGTAATGTTAATGCTGTCCAGTTTGGGTCCTGGGAGCTGACAGGATAGAGTGAGGGACCCAGGGAGGAGGTATGCCTGGGCATGTATGATATCAGGTGGCAGGCTACCTCTGAAAGCTGGCCAACTTGCAGGGCCTTTGCTTTTCTGTGTAGCTTTGATCCCTTCTTTCAGAGTCACCGGAACTCTTGGAAATGATTGGAAACTTAACAATTCCATCTGACTGCTTTTAGTGAAGTAGCAGTTTAGCACCTACTCCAAAAATATCAATAGCCCAATAGAGACCTGGCCATCTCCCCTGTGTTCTCCCTCCTCCTCCCCCTCTCAGCCCTTGTCTTAAGTTTACTCTGACCAGCTTGTGGAGAGGCTCTAATACTCTGTATGTCCTCTGTGCTGGGTCTGGCTTTAAGGTTATCCCACTTCCTGTTGCCTCCCCAGGATTGGACTTAAATCACCCTCTTGGTTGCTTCCCTCCCCCACCTGCTGCCGCCTCCCTCGGGGCTGCCGTCCCACAAACCAACTTTCATTCCATTTGTTTGAGTATAAACATGAATTAAGAGCTTCCCAGGAAAGAGAGCTTAAGCAGGAGCCATGCTGCTTCCCAAGGGAGCCAGAGGCATTCCTGGAGTTCTGTACTTGCTGCCACCTTCCCTCCCCCTCTCAGCCAAGTGGTTGGCCATGGTCCTGAGGACCCTGAGCTGTCCCTTGCCTTCCTCCATTGCCCAATATTCATCCCAGTGCCCTGTTCTCACCCTTTGATGCCTTGCCCCTGCTGTTTCCGTTTACAACAAGGACACTTGCCAGCTGGGGATGTTCAAGATGGCTGACTCTGCAGTTACAAATGTTCATGAGAAAACTGAATGAGACATGAATGGCAGAAGGTGGAATCCCTTTGGAGGCCACTTTCTCTGTTCCTTCCTCTCTTTTGATAGCAAACAATGCAGCCTGGAAATGACACACTGGGAGGGATGGACCATCTAAAAGACTGGGTCAGTCAGGCCTGTCTATTTGATCTTTGTAGCTTACTGGAGTTTCTCCTTGATCTCTCTAGTCAGGTCATACTACAGAACCTTGTTCTCTCCTCCGTTGGGATAGGGGTAGAGGCTGGCCTACCCTGCGCTCCTGGCCCAATCTTCCATGGTGCTGGAGAGAAGTCTTCCCCCATGCCATCCTGGTTCTCACATATGCTCTTTCTTTAGGTTAGACACTCACTATCTCTCCTCTTCTACCTGGTTGGGGTACTGCTGGGGACTTTGGGAGAATGTTGGCAATGAATGTGGCAGTAGCTGGCCAGCCTGCCAAGTCCTAACAGCAACCAGTCCTACAGATCTTCTGCCTACAGATCTTTCACTGGCAGGTCTGCAGTTCAGCATAGAAGAACATTGTAGGGGGCTGTATTGCAGCCATGTTTGTGCGTGAGGGTGGGGGAGCACAAAGCTGTGAGAACTTGTTGCTTTGATCTGCGCAGCTGCCAGTTGATGCTCCTGCTGACTGTGGCTTGTGGTTTCTAAATGGCTCTTAACTCCTCATTAAAATTAGGTTGCAAGTGAAATTCTTAACTTGTGGCTCTCGGGGAGACTGAGCTGTGGGGCTCAGAACTGATACAGCTGCCTGAACTTGTTCACCAGCTAAGCTATGAAGCCTGAGCCCATGTCATGGGCTGCCCCAGATTGTTCCCTAAGAAGACTTCTCCTGTAATGGAATTGGTCTGACTTTAGAAACATGCTTATAAAAGGAATCTCGTCTTCTGGGGCATTTGCACCGTCTGACTGCACCGACTCTAGAAAGACCCACACAAGGTGGCAAGCTTGGTTTCCTTCTGAAGCCCTTTCCCTGGTGGTGAGGACTCCTCTGCCTAATCAAGTTCTCCATTTTCTAGCCCCTTCATTCTGAAGGATCCCAAAACACTACACAAACTATTGCTTTCCCTAACACTAAAATGCATCCCTGTCTGGGATGGGATGTGACAGCTGTTTAACAGTGCACAACAGTGCTCCAAAACTTTAAGGCAGGAAGTAAAGAAAAAAATGTTATATCCAATCAAAATTGCAGGGGGAATTTAGGGGCAGAAATAATTACTTGAGTTAGAATTTGGCCAGAATCCCAGGACTAACTGAACTACAGTTAAAAGAATCACAGGATCCTTAATGACCACAAATGGTCAGGCCCTTGATTTTGTCTCATTCCAAAGTCAGCATTTATAAGTGTAAATATAGTGACCCCTGTCATCCCATTGGGGCACTGCTTTGATTTTTGAACCAGCAGGGAGAATGCCACCTACTTAAATCACCAGCACCACTTTCTGAAGCACCCTGAGTTTTTTCTGTATGTGGGGGGTCTCTCATTGAAGCAATGACCTGGTTTGACCCTACGTAGCTTGAGAAATGTGACTGAATCACAGGCCTAGGTGGTCTGGCTGCAGACATTATATATACATTCTCACTAAGCATTCATTTGGCAGGCAGTCTGGAAAATGCCAGTATTCTAAGGTCAAAGCAATATAGTCTCTGCATTCAGGGAGAATATCATAGAATATTAGGGTTGGAAGAGACCTCAGGAGGTCATCTAGTCCAATCCCTTGCTCAAAGCAGGACCAACACCAACTAAATCATCCCAGCCAGGGCTTTGTCAAGCCAGGCCTTAAAAACCTCTAAGGATGGAGATTCCACCACCTCCCTAGGTAACCCATTCCAGTGCTTCAGCACCCTGCTAGTGAAAGTGTTTCCTGACTTTCCAACCTAGACCTCCCCCACTGCAACTTGAGACCATTGCTTCTTTTGTCATCTGCCACCACTGAGAACAGCCTAGCTCCATCCTTTTTTGGAACCCCCCTTTCAGGTAGTTGAAGGCTGCTATCAAATCCCCCCTCACTCTTTTCTCTTCTGCAGACTAAATAACCTCAGTTCCCTCAGCCTCTCCTCGTAAGTCATGTCCCCCAGCTCCCTAATCATTTTCATTGCCCTCTGCTGGACTCGCTCCAATTTGTCCACATCCCTTCTGTAGTGGGGGGACCAAAACTGAACGCAATACTCCAGGTGTGGCCTCACCAGTGCCGAACAGAAGGAAATAATCACTTCCCTCAATCTGCTGGCAATGCTCCTACTATGCCGTTGGCCTTCTTGGCAACAAGGGCACATTGCTGATTTATATCGAGCTTCTCATCCCCAGGTCCTTTTCTGCAGAACTGCTGCTTAGCCAGTCAGTCCTTAGCCTGTAGCAGTGCATGGGATTCTTGTGGAGAGGCTCTAATACTCCGTATGTCCTCTATGCAGGAAGGAATGTCCTGCTCGTTGGAGGTAATAGGGGAAATGGACACACCCTCCCTTCCCCATTCCCAAAAGGCAGAGGAGCAAAGTCAAACTAGCGTCACATGGAAGCAGATGTAGTCTGGAGATAAGGGGTGAAGGTGCTGGTTTCCTCCAAACAGAGAATCTAACAAGTTGACCTGTGTTTTGTGCAGGCTCTGGGAAAGCTGCAGGATACAGGCTCTGACAGCAACAGGTTAACTTTGAGGGAGGATGGGATAGTACTTTGGGTAGGCCTTTGCAGGGGTGATTCAGTATGAGGAGGCAGTGGCTTTGGAGTGCCTGGGTTCAAGCCAATTAAAGGCTTCATTGTTTGTTTGTTTTTGCCTCCTGGAGTCTGGGCTTCTGGGTGGGCTAAGAAAGGCCCCACTATTGTGTTGAGGCCCACTTTGAAGCAAACCTCAACCTTTCCCCAGGGTGGTTGGTGGGGAATGGTGTGAAGGCAGCAAGGCTCCATTGCTACAACTCTTCTCTGCACTCATTGAAACAGCCTGAAGAAGAGGCAATATAATGGGCCCCCGCTCACTATTGGCAGAGATCAATCCAGCAGCTAGGATGTAGCATTTTTTCCACCCTCAAAGGGGAAGACCAGAATACTCAGGATATTACTTGATCTTGGCAGGATAATGATAGGGTGTCTTAAGCAAGAACAGCTTTGAGAGGGTGTCCTAGGGCTGAATTGCTCTGAACAGTGCTGCTAGCAAGCTTTCATGGGACTGTCAAAGTGTGGTGTAGTAGAAACACACTCATGTGTGCTCTGTGATGCCACTGTAGAGCCATGCACTACTGGTTGGCTCTACTGAGACTTAATCTTATTATGATCTCTCAGTGGTTTATTGCAGCTCTCTCGTCCATTGTTGTGAGC